CTCGGTGGAAGTGGGGAACACGGCGCTCTCTCTAGTTCTGTTATGAGCGTGTGCAGCTGACACAAGGAAACAGCAGTCTGACTCACGGCTGCTTTCAGCGTCTACACAGAAACTTCAGAAATGGATGCATACAAACCTTGAGATTAAGATGTTTAGGGAGGTTAACCTGCACACAGTGTGGAACATTGTATTCAGGCTGTTGCATTGTCCCCTTCAGGAAGAAGACTCTCTCTGCATTTGTGACTGACGCCACGAAACATAAAGAAACCAAACAGAAGCTGACAGACCTGGACCTTCTACTGCTTCTAACTGTCCTTCTGAGTGACAATTTTATATGGAGACATCACTGAAGTCACAATACAGCCGGTGTTTTTCAAACAACACTGGTCTAAAATCAGTATTTCAGGGGAGCAGAGCTTAGAAATGGTTCTCATTAACATGCAGCCTAAACGGGATTCAGTCCTTATTTAATGCTCGATTCATTGTCTCACAGCAGAAACAGAAAATTATGTTAACAATAACAGCTTAATGGGAACTTGGCTGTATTAAAATGCAATGCAGTGAGCACAGGGAGCAGGAGAGAAGCAAAAAACAAAACTACACTGTGGGGAAATGCATTACTAAGCATGTTCTCACTGCTTTTATTTAACAGCTCTAAGTTTTTTAGACATTTAAAAAGCTTCTTCATCAGTACAACCTCACTAGAAAGCTCAGTTAGCAGTCATAGTTGGTGTAATATTTGCCAGCGGCAGCATCCTTCTCCCAGTTAAGGTTAAAATGAAGTAAAAATATGGTTTCAATTCAACATTCACTAACCGGCACATGCAGCCGAGCTCAGCTGCACATATCACATTGTGCAGGGCCTTAGGGGAACTCAGGTCTGTCCTGGATTGAACTGAGACAGTAGGCGGACCACAGAAGACATTAAAAACCAGGTGTCATGAGTCAAGAAGTAGTGCAAAATGTCAAGTTGTGGGTTTATGGTGCCTGTTTCTTGGCTGAGCCCAGCATCTGAGGTGGGCAGGCAACCAGTGCATCAGGAGAACAAACAATACAAAAACCTTAAACTGCAACGTCAACGAATCAAACAAATGAAATATAGATTGTTAATTAGGAGATTTTGCTAACTTTCAACAGGCTAACTCCATTTCCAGTCTTCATGTTAGATGCCGAGCTGCAACTACAACCACAGACTGCTCATACTATTAGCTACATGTATTTTTAATATCAGTGTTGTCTTTTTGGTCGAGTTGTGAAACCGAGCAAACTCGTCATCATTCAAGTCGACGCACACAGAGGCTAATTAACACTGTCAAGCAGTATTTCACGATTCTCCCTCGTGTGCGTTTCTTTTCTCTCCGATGCTCTCGCTTTGATCACAGCAAAAAAAATAAGTAAACGGCTACACTGTGGGCACATCGCTCCGAGGCAGGGGAGGAAAAAAAACCAGAAAGCAAAGAATTGTTTATCTGCCTCGAAGCACGCTGAAAGAAAAAGGATCCTGTTTTCTTAGAGACATTAAATGTGACAGTTTTACTGAGCAAACTTGCCTGTTGTTTCCAATGCGCTAATTCCCACTGAAAAATCATGAAGCGGTGAATCTGGAAACACAGCTGCATACATTAACGGTCGACATACAGCCTAAACAAGAAACTCCAAAATATATTCAAAATCATGATCGCAGAAAATGACTGACGCATCTTCTACGCAAACAACAAATTCATTCTCGGTGCATCTGTGCCAGCTGTCTGTGATTGCAGCCAAAAGTGCACTAAGGTCAAACAACAATCAGGACATGGAGGTTTTTAAAGTGTTTCTCGATGCATTGACTCCCCTGATTTAGTCTTATTCTAAAATGAGGCCTGGCTGATTCAGTCTCTGAGTGGAATAAGGAGACTTATTGATTGTTGTTTCAAGGTTTTACGGGAGACGGGAGAGTTATGGCGGTTGGGGCTGCATCGGCTCTCCGCCAAGAAAAGGGATCCGGGCATCGTCAGCAATCTCTGCCGCCTCTCCATAAACAAAGTGAGCCGGGTGGCATTTCTTTCTTTTTTTTTTAAAGCAAACAAACACAGCGCTCTCACTCTCCCCACACACAGCAGCACACACAGCACGGAGAAATAACATTACCATTAATGTGGTTTTATTAATAATAACAGTATCTCTTTTAATGAACATTGCAGATACATAATAGAAAATAAATCAGAAAACAGGAGAGACGTCGTCTCAAGAGTCGTGAAAGTGCCTGGAATAATTCTGTGCTATATATTGTCATTGTTATTCATCATCCTTATCACCTTTCCCATCAAAGCCACATCACCGGAAATTCGTCATGAAACAAAAGTGTGTGTGTGTGTGTGTCGTCGTCCCGCTTAGAAAATGTTTGTATTCACAGAGCCTCCCAAAGCAGGAGCGCCAGACTCCTGTCGAAATCCCATCGATTTTGCGCCTTAACCTCCAGTCGGGATTAGTATTTCTACTTTGAGAGGCCTTGTGAATAATGACCATTGGTTTCATGAGTATGGCTCGATTGTCTTCATCTTAATCATGTTATTGTCTTCATTATATTTACACAATGCCTTATCAAAGAGCACAGCGAACTCCTCGGTTCAGAGGTGGTGCTCTTCATCCATATGTTACTTTTCATAGAGGGGGAGGGAGGGAAAGGTGTGACCGGGGCGGATAAATACAGGCCTGGCTCGGATCATCTGTTTGAAAGAAATCTCCAATGAAAATCTTTGAACAAATTCCCCCCACCCTCCTTCAAAAAAAAAAAAAAAATCCAGGCCTGGTTTGAAATATTCACTGAAAGTAGAATCAAAAGATTTCAAGATGATGAAAAGTTGGGGGGGAAGGAACACAAGTTTTCATTTATTGTTTACACGTTCGACACTTTGCATATTTTATGGCACTAAATGAAACATCTATGAGATGTTGCAGGTATTTTTAGTATGAGGTTAGTTTCTCGAATAAAAAAAAAACAAATGACATGGCACAGCTGCAGGAGGAGTGGATATGTGAGAGTAGCTCTTGATTGGATGGAATCACGATGGGAGGATAAAAAGAAGACCATTTTGCGAATGGTTTTACTTTAGCTTGCTTTGGTCTAAAGTAGCATTTCTATTGTGGTTACATATACACCAGGATTTAAGTTGCATTTCTAACAACATTCTCGTCACTCTTAAGCGTTAAACATCTTATTTGGAAGGGTTTCATTCTAAAAGGCTTCGAGGAGAATACGCCTCAAGTTGATTATTGGTCAGTAGGGCAACGATATAATCCTCTACATGTTACTTTTATATTAATAGCTAAACAAAAAAAACATTTCACAAGTGCTTCAGCTGGCTCGTTTTGGAATGAAACTCTTCACCGTCGTGTTCCTACGTCCCGACCCGTGATGTGAAAGCCCTATTTTATTAATCTGAGAGCAACTCAACAGACACTTCAAGAGGGAGATGGCGAACAAATAACAGAGCTGTCATTTATAAGAAAATGAATGACAGATTTTTTTTTTCTTTTCTTTTTTTTTTAGCCCTGGACAGCCTTGTTTGGTCCTACAGAGGAAACCAGGTGGAGTAAATGCTTCGATGGATGCCATGGCTTTCTCCTCCATCCGCGTTGACATCATGGAGAGCTCCGTCCTCGACTGCTGTGAAACCAACAAAAAACATGTAATACGCAAAAAACAAAAAAAGCCTGCTGAGCTGCGATCAGTTGTGTATTTGAAATGTCAAAACTCCCCTTTTTTTTAAATGATGAAAACAAACTTTTTTTTTTCTCTTGCACTATAAGACATTTAGTGAAAGACCTATCGATTTTCGTGAGCTATGCAGTTCCACATAACAAAACGTTGTTCTTTTTTTTTTTCTTTTTTTTTTAGTTTCCCCAAATCCTTCTATCACAAACTTTATAGGTATAACTTCTCTAAGCAAATATCCCTCAGTTACAAAAATATACTTTTCTTTTTTCATAAAATAATACACATAATTACTTTTTCAGTGATATAATCATCTGTTAAGGTAAATAGCAAGGCTGTTTTTTTAAAAGTAAATGTTATCGTGAGAGAAACAGAGAGAGATGTGAAGCCTAGCACCATATTCTTCATTTCCCCCCTTCACAGAATTTTCCGAAAGCGTTCCGTCGATTTTTTTTGGGGGGAAAAAAAAAAAACACCCCCATCTGTTCCTCCGCTCTCTGGCCTTCAAGTTTTGCATATTCTGGTTGAGCCCAGATCCTCAACCCTTTACAGCAGTCAGCGGAAAACTCAAATCCAAAAACCCCAAAATCTTACGCATCTCCTGAAGGCTTTGACCCCCTCCCCACCCCCCCAAGAGAAAAACCCCAAAAGCTTTATAAACTACACCAGCCAAGAAATTAAGATAAAGGTAACAACGGTTTAACCAACACATCTCACAGGCCATTGCTTCACTTTTGTACAAACTGAAACAAAAAGAAAAGAAAAAAAAAAAAAGAGTCCCAAGTGATGATAAAACATAAAGAAGAAACAAGTCCCAAACACTGTTGCTACAAAGAATTAGAAAAACGTATGTACAGGACCCTGTATTCCTTGACTCTCTGGGTAAATGATCATAGGTGTTGGCTTGTGTTACGTGAGTGTTTATACAGGCATACAAAAAAGTTCCCCCTTGCTTCTTTTTTCTTTTTTTTGTTGTTCAGCAGAACTTTTTTGTGGTTCAGTTTCAATAAAAGCTCTTATTGGACCAAAACAAAACAAAACAAAAAATATCTGCCACCACCGTCTCCAGCTCCAGTTTGTCCAGTGTGTCTGATGCCCCGTCCTCCCTCCCTTCCCCCCCCACCCCACCCGTCCCCCCCCCGTTGTTTTTATCTGGTGCAAATTCAACAGCAGCAAGTAGCTTAGTGCCATTCCGGTCCGTCTGGCTCCGGTGTGTTCAGGGTCCAAGTGCCAAATTGGTGAGTCCTCCCTGTGTCGGACATCGTATAGATCCACAGTCTTACCCCGCCTGGCACCGTCTCTGTCACCAGATGACACTGGATATACTGGTCTCTCTGGGAAGCAGTGGCAGCATGGCGTTGTTGCCGTGGGCTTCCTCCAGACTCTGCTGGCGCGGTGACTTGGACTGCGGCCGCTGTCCGTTGATGAGCGTCATGGGGATGTTGCAGTAGGTGTGCTGGTTGCCTAGCGAGGAGAGTGGCGGGAGCGTGCCGCCGGGCGGCAGGTCGTAGTCGTAGCTACGGTAATAGTGTTTCTGCCTCATCTGGGTGTGGCAAGAGTTGTGAAAGGTCGAACGCAAGTCCGGGTGTGCCGTCGCCATGGCGGTGGAGGTGGCTGCTGCCATGGAGATGGCCGAGACGGTCTGGAGCTCGCCGAAGGGGCCCTGCTCGCTGACGTCCAGCACCTGCTCGTGGGAGATGCTGAGGGGCTCCATGCGCTTAAAGGGCATCTCGTAGAGCAGCTGCTTCCAGAACTTGGAGTTGAGCTTGTTGCTGGACGAGCCGCGCCACTTGATGACCGTCAGCATCTTGATGGTGTGTTTGAGGGCCTCCACCTCCTGGTAGTTCATGATGCCGCGCAGCTCGGCGCACTCGATCAGGATGACTTTGATCTCGCCGGTCACCAGCATGTTGCGCAGCCGCGTCTCCAGCTCAAAGATGCTCCACCCCCTCCGCACCACGTAGCTGGGCGTCATGACGATGATGAGGCGCTTGCTCTGGTCCACGCAGCGCGCCACGTCCTCGATGTAGGCTGGACACACAGACAGAGATGGAGACAGAGATGCCTCACTTTGACAGATTAAGAGCACAAGCAACATCATGTTTTCTGATTCAGCCTATTTGCTCGTAGACTTAAATAATCCTGACAGTTTAAATCGTACATGTAACTACACAGAGCCGATGAGTGATGAAAATATGATGAAACATTACACAGGCTATTTGAAGAACTCTCTTGGCCTCATAGCGACTTTGTACCAAACTACTCCCCTTTTTTTTTTATATCAAAGTTGCAAACAAACAAGTCCAATTAAGATTTTAAAAAAGTGCGATGTTTCAAAACAAGATTGAAAAATTGAAGATGTAAAAACAACATTAAACATCTGATGGATTCTAAAATGTTCACTGGCTCTAAATTATTCCACCATCTGGCGTGCGGATAATGATACGCAAAATGAGGATAAAACAGAGATGTGATTTTAAACGCTAACTTAAATAAACAGCTACAGCCCCTGCAGCGTTTAATAATACAGACGGGAACAAGAGGACGAGGATCAATTGGTTTTTACACTCGAAGCAAAGCGAAGACACAGGTGTCAGCTTAAACTCCCATCCGTCAACTGAAGGTAAAAGAAGTTTACAGTAAATACAGTATTGTGCTCACGTCCCTAATGAGTAACTCAGCTGCTTGGGTAATAATGAATGTGATTAAGTTTCTCCCCAGGCCTTTGCTGGGTGTCAGGAGGAGGAGGGAAGTGTGTGAATAGAGGCGTGTGTGCAGCTAATGCCTGCTTTTAGCCTTTTCTTGGCCAAGACAAAGACAGAGTGGCTCCTCAGCAGCAGGTACACCGGATTAACTGGGCTTCGCTTCCCGATCAAAGCTTACGACCCTCTCGTGTGTGGAGGAAAAATTAGAGAGAAAGCGAGGGCGAGCGAATAATATCTTTAAGCAAACAAATGCCACATTTCGTCTCTGACCTCCATATCTCTGAGAGCGAACGGCTTCTTTCATGTCACGCTCCGCCTGAGGCTCGGCGATGAGAGGCACCTGATTAGAGTAAACTTGGATTTGAAGTCGCCCTTTACTTCGGCATGACAAGTCAATCTCTTTGCTGTTTGGTAATTGGTCCTCAAGCGCTAATTCGCTGCTGTGGTTCCCCCGAAGCTAGAGCTCGCCTGTAAGGTCGGAGCCCACTCGGTTGAGGTTAAACTAAGTTTTTCTCTTATCTTATCATGAATAAAACAAATGGGAAAGGATGAATGGATATTATATAATTAGCTAATGAGCTGTAATTTCTTTTTATGTTTTGAATTGATTGTACTGAAAGTAAATCTTGTCCTCTCGGGGTGCCGCCTGGTAACTTTTTATAGCTTTATAGATCCAAATCGTCCTCTCAGAGACTTCAGCTTTGCAATCTAACCGTTGCATGTGTAATAATAGAGCCATGTCTACATAAAGAGACTAAATCAATGCTCGATTAAATTGGGCAGAAAATCAGTGTCGCTCTGCCCTTTATTGGTTGTCTTTTTTTTTTTTTAAAGGAAAAAAAACATCCAAACAACCAAAACTGTTACAATCCAGCCAGAAATGACCCAGTGAGAGTCTGAAAAGTGCACTTGTAGTAAGAGAATGCATTAAAGTCAACTAGAGATGTTACCAATGCTCTTGTGCTCTTTCACAAACTTATTGTGATATTGAGCATAAAAGAAAGATGTTGTGTACTTCCTGCTCATTAGAATAAGGATTTGTGTTGACATGTGGGCATATATAAGGTTTTACATTCGCTTGTTTCCTCGCAACTAAGTGACAATCCTACAAGTTATAGTGCAAATATAATATGAAGAGTGAAGAAATTACTTTCTACAGGAAGTAAGTAACTAAAGTATTGCATTACTTCTTGAAAAAGTATTGACAACCCCAACAGCAGTGTTTTTAAATTCAGTACGTACAAAAGAAAAGACACATGAATAAATAATTTACATGCTTCCTGTGCTAAACTTTTGAGATAACATTTTGGTCAGTTCTTTCCTACACGTTTTATCTCTGGTTTCCACATGTAACCATAGACTGTATATTCAAAGTGGACGGAGCCTCGGGGTCTGAAATGTGAAGCTGACGCAGAACCTGCATCTTCTGGTTGTAAACAGAAACAAGACTGTATAAAAGCCTATGAGAAAATGTCCATGTTTCTCATATTGGGTCTCATACATGGTCTCAGTTGGTGGTTTCAAGTCTGATTTGATACAGCGTGATGCTAATGAAGTAAATTAAGGTCTCATTTAGAGCAAAAGAGATGATTAAGAGTGTTTATTCAGTTTAAATGAGATAATTTTAAATCTCTATTAGGTGTATTTTAGGGCTTGGCTGCTTGTCTTTAACAAATCGCTGTGTTGTGCACCTTAGCTATCAAACAGACTCAGGCTTCGCTTTCAAAAGAGCAAGATGGCGACGACCGAATGCAAAGTCCACACACCAGTGGGCAGCATTACACTTGCTATGCCTGTCTTTTACTACATATGCAGTCTATGCATGTATTCTGAAAGCTTGAGGTGAGGTTAATATAATGTAATGTTTGGGAAATCCTTACTCTCTACTCTGAATGGTGTGCAGCAGAAATCAGCTCAAGCAACCGCATTTAATTCCAGTAAAGCTTCAAGAGCAGATTAAAACACAACGACGTTTCAACTAAGCCACAACTCGTGCTTCATTTATTTATTTTTTAACTGTGCCTGAAATGTGATTGTTTAAGTTTGTGTCAGACATTCTGGTGTTTAATTTAAACTCAATTTCAACTGTATTTCCTGCAATTCAATGCACGCAGGTGGCACCACATGTAGATTTTATCGTTATGAGTTAAAACAACACAAACCATTTAAAAATTATTTCTGTGACTTACACCCATCTAACTACCTACACATCCTAAAAACACCACATAACTTCAAATGTTGGTCTAACTCAAGTATATCCAAGTGGGAAAAACAACCATAAATGATTGCAAAACTTTTTATAAAGAATTCATATACTTGCAGCTAATGGCTTTACTGATGGTTCCTGTATAATTCATTAAAACTTAACAGATCAGTAAATGCTGTCGTACAAACATTAATTATTCATTGCTGATCTTTGCAGCATAAATCAAGCTGTTAACCACTTGTGAAGTCATTAGTACCAACCTAGAAACCCTGGTGACTTATTATAAAGTGCTACCAAAAATCTCTTTCTGCAGCTGCGTTGCTTATTTGATCAGAAAGTCTGTGTCGGTGTGTGTTGGCACGAGCGTTAAAAATCTGTGGAGAAAGTACCTCTAAGTAGTCTTGTGTCATCCTGGAAATGATCATTGGTGAAACCTAAACATAGATATTTAGATTCAAAGTTTGATCAAAAGATTTGCAGAACATTTGTTTTGCATTTTAAAAAAAAAGAAGAAGAAACAATTCTGTCAATGTGGGGACATGGCTCTGGCATAAACTGTGTGTCTCCACTGATGCGCTACTGGCGATTGTGAAACGATAATCGCGCTGACCAGTTTATTCCAGTTTAATATGGGACATGTAGCATAAAAAAGCAAAGGAAAAAGCATTTGATTTGGGTAGTGGGAGTTCAGCAAAGACTCGCCGTCGCTGCCTTGTCATCAAAAAAACTAAAAAACTAGAACAGTATGGGGGGGAATGTACCAGAGATGTGTTAAAAATAATCCAGCATACTGTGGAATAACACGTAGCTAATCAGCAGCTCAGGAGAAGGATTGTTGACACATGCTGAAACCCCCAAATGGCCAAACTGTGTTTATCTATAGCCGAGGATTATGCTTTATTATATCAAATGTTGAGATGCTAATACATTCCCAATGGGAGCTAAAATATTTCTACATAGACACAATAAACCGAGCTGTGCCACCAAGCTGGAATTGTGGCAGACGTACTTTTTGGTTTCCTTTCAATCCTTGCATTTTTATGCCATTTTTCCCATATTACAACAGTCCCCCTGTACTGAGCACATAATCACAGCAAGGGATTCAGTTTATAACCTTGGCACAATGCCACTGAAGAGGAACATAATTAGTAATGGTGGTATGTGCGGGAAGACAGGCAGATGCAAGTATTCAAATGGAGGCTAATAACATAATGATATTATCAAACTCATCTGTGTGATGAGTTAATCAAAGATAAGCACGGGGCATGGTGAGAGGCTCCATTAGATATATACTGTGGTAAAACATGCATTAATATCCATGCATAAGGAGATTTTTTTTTTTTTTTTTTTTTGATTGGACAGCTGACATCATCGCACAGCAGCATGCAGAGGCACAGCGTGTATGGAGCTGGATCAGGAATGTGGACTGTAATAATAGGGTTGGCTCCTTCTGCTAATTATGTTGCATATGTAATATAGGTTATTATGCCTCCCACAGGCTTGTGTAGTGTAGATTGTGCACTTTTCAAACTTTGTTGCGTAAAGACTGAACTAGCAAGTCCGGAAATTTCCTCGCATTTTAATGTGGCGCTGAGTGGAGGTGCAGCACATTATGTCTGGGTACCCTAATTAATCTATAACTGCATTAAATTGAGTGAAGTAGAAGTAGAAAGCAGCGAAAATTTAAAATAAGGGACATGTCATTTGTTACTTTCCACCAGTGGAAAACTCAAGCAACTTCTCATTTAGTTATTTTCCATCAATCTCATGATAAATCTACGGCATGTTTCTGATGAGTGACAATAATAATTTAATGATTAATATTTGAGTTTTTTAGCACTGGATTCATGAAATCCAATAATTCTAGGCTCTCTGCACAACTTGCGTACTACTACAGGGAGGAACAGTAAAATTAAAGTAAACTTTGAAGGCACCGGCACACTTTGAAGGCTTGAATAACTCCTTGAACTAAAGGCTCCTCGCATGAATGGCAACTTTCCTGGTAGAAAGCGGAACTCTTGCCTTGAGATGCTTTTAGTGGTGCCACCAATCTTTTTTGTGCCCCTGTTTCCACTGCAGGAACTTGTGAACCATTGTTCTGCTCACATACTCAGTAATTTGTCGCCGTTTTGGAGCACTCAGCTATCGGATCCGACACCACAATGGAAGTGGAAAGGCTGAACGGACCAATTATTCCTGTTCTCCCACAAAGGGTCACGCCCGAGGTCCTGCAGTGTACGCTCACCTATTGCTACCACCAGTCATTTGGGGTGGATGTTTTTACTCTGGAAGGTTTTATAACTTCATAAATTACATTAAAATCTACATTGTTAGAATAGTTTGTGTACGTTTGAAGTGTTCTGAAGGTGTTTTCATACATTTGTCAAGCAAATTTAAAGTTAATTTTGAGATGTTTAAGCATAAAGAAAACGCAATACAGGCTTGTTTCCATTGCCATCTTTACAGTGCATTAACAAAGCTGCACAGTGTTGTTGGAAGGTGGTGGTAGAAGCTACAAGGATTATATTTTACTGTAATAAACAGAGCAGAAGAAGTGACGACTGCCAAAAAACCCTAAAGAGAAAAAAAAACTTTGGCTATCGACCAGGGTAAAAATGGAGGAAACTCTGGGAATTGTTTTCAATTTGGCAAATTATAATTATTCTTTCATGTGAGTGAAGCTACATCAGAACTTATTCAAAAAAGGTGTTTCCATCCCCCATTAGGTGCACTAAACCTCATGAGCCTTTTTTTCTGCAAAATTTTGGAGGCCTTTTTCAAAATCTTTCCATCTATATTAACCTTTTCTCATGCAATACTTCAAGTTGTGGATGAAAACACAATAAGGTTGTTGCTTACACTTGTAGAGTTTGGATTTGTACTGCTTCCACTCAGAGAGGAAGACTGTTTGAACCTTTATCGAGCAAACAACTTCTCTTTTTGTTCACTCTCAGTTGCAACACTAGAGCTTGGGTATTAGTCGTATTTTTCTTTTTGGTAACCTTTTTGATTGCCATCCTTGAAAGAGAATGGCCAACCCTGAGTTAGACATTTTCCTCATGCTTATGTGTTGTTTGGGTTCCCCAGAATTTGAGGCTTCTTTCATAAGCTGTATGTTTTATGCATATCTTATTGCTAACAAGCACTAAGGCACGAGTAAAGACCGCTCTCGGTAGTTGTGTTTAAAAACCGACTGAAATTAAATGAATAAATAATGCAAAATAATAAAATTCTAATCTTTTCCTATATTTTTTAAACCCAAAGTCTAAACCCTTAAATGAACCCTTTTCGCACACTGATCCATTTCAGTTCAGCCAGCGGTTAGAAAAAGCTCATTTCATAATGATCAAATGGGAAAACAATGATGGTCTTACAAGTCGGTGTTATGCCACAACACAAATGCATAACAGAAAAAAAAAAAACAACAAACAAGGCATCACCACTGCACTGACAACAGCAACACGAGCAACACCAAGCGACAAAAAACATTCGACACAACTTGACATCGCCGTGAGAGAGAGAGCTTACTTCCTGTGGGGATCAAATCCCTGTCTGGAATGAAGAGTTTATACCCATAATGCTTCTCCAGCACGTCGGGGAGGATCTCCAGGGCAAAGCGCTCCTCCTCCCGGGTCTCCTGGCTCCACTGGTCCGGGTCCACTTTGGTGTAGGACAGGTAAGCATCATAGTCCTTGTTATCTGCAGGTAGAAAGAGGAAGGCAGATACTTTCATGGGTGAAATGTCACAGCTCGGATTATGCAGCAGGAAAATCAGCGAGGCGTGTTAGCAGAGCCTTTATTGTCCTTCAAACCAAACCCTTTCATTTAGCTTCGGAATAAAGCAGAAGCAGAGCGAGCAAAACCAAGCCTTGGTCTCAGAATAAACAGACTGCTCCCTTGAATGCTCGCGCCGCTTCATGTATGAGCAATAAAAAGCTCCCAAAACCACTTTGCTTCGATTAAAAGTGTATACGTTTTGTGATTCCAACACAATGTTTCCTACTTTGGTCAGCAAAGTTACGCAGTGGCATACCCCAGATGCGCACAATCTATTTTCATACTGGTGCACAGAGAGCTATTCATTCGATGGGAGACTTCATTGAGACAGGACGCCTCCATTACACTGACCTCTGGGCACCTCTGCCCATCTGAGTGCTTTTCATTACAGCTCCGTCCCCGCTGATGAATAATGTTGCCTTGATAGCTACTTTGCCCACTGCAGGCAAAACAAATTAGACTCCAGCCCGAGCTAAACGCTCAACACTGCCTGCTAGGCCGGCACATGGCGCGGTTCCATCACCCACATGAAAGCTCTGATTGATGACGGATTTGAAAAGACCGAGCTGAGAGACGGAAAGTGAGAAATGAGGGAAGACTTAACGTTTGAGTCAGGAGAATGGAAGACATGGAAGTGAGACGTCCCAGAGCTTCCGACTACTACACGGAGAACCAATGGCTTCGTGCTCCTACGACAATCTGCAGCTCTCAGTTTGAGAAGATCCTTCAAGCAAAGCCTGGTTGGGTGGCAACGGGAACACCACCTGTAAGCTGGATCTTACCTATAAAGAGTCCCAACTCAATACCATCTCCCTAGATAATACACACTCCGAGTACATTAAAGTTCTTAAAATAATCCAGCGTCTGTGGTGCATAGAGAAGAAAATGTATTCCTGCATTCAAACTGTTGCTTAATGTTCGATGTCTTAAATGTAATGTTGCGAGAGCAGAGTGTACTGTGGCTCCAAGTTCTAAAAGACAAGTGAAAATCTGTACTTTCATGTGTGAGAAAGTCTTGCAGATTAGCTGTTGTACCTGGTTGCACCAACAGGTGGCGCCTCAGACTGCATGATACTGTGGTGCACAAGCTATAGCTCCATGTTGGCGAGCAGAGAACATTGTTGGGGTTTCACTAACAACGGGGACCATGACAAAGACTTAAGTGATGCTTAATGGCCTCCAGTAGGGTCAAGCTGGGTTCAAATAGGACAGTGTTTGTAGCAGAGGAGTTTGTAGCTCATATCATGTGTCTCTAGATTAAAACTGTTATGTCAGTACGGCTCACTGTGCTCAATTTGCATTATTGATGGAAAATGCAAAAAGGCTACTCAATAATTGCATTTCTAGCATCCAAAACTGATTTTGCTCTCGACACCTGCATGACAGCAGAAGAAAACAAAGGATCTAGATTAGGTTGATGCCAATACTGATCTTTTTTAAAAAAGTGCCTTGATCGGCCTCGGTCCCCATCTCTGACACTGAATAGGAATATCCCGACTAACTATTAATCACAGCTAATCGTGCCACCTAAAAGCAGAACCTTACAAAGCCTTGTCTCACCTCAAATGAAGAACTGAGATTGTATTTATTTTGTAATTGGACAGTTAACCTTTTAATGATTTTGAAATGTGTGTCCAACATTTTTACAATGCATTGAATGAATGATGTAAATTTTTGTGTATTTGTTGTGGGTCTAATGAGGGTTTTCGTGGTTTTAAAGTGAATCAAAAGGGAAGTTTGTCTTCATCTATTGTGCTGCTGATCATCTCTTTAAATAAAAACCTTTAAACTGACCCCATACTGGCTATGCTACATCTCCACTGTGTTGTGCAGCCCCATTTATGGCAGTTGTAATCCAGATGTGGTAATCTTGAAGAGTTTGTATGTGGATCAGGGTGAAACAGTCTGATGCTGCTTTGAAAAACTGGCACAGAAGTAAGATTGACTACCTCGATAACAAAACAAGATTTCCAAATCTGGATCATTTTAATCAGGATTAAAGTTTAATGGCAGACCTCATTAGGTCTGAGTGGTAGAATGTGCCTCTTCATTATGGTGAAATTGCCTTTTTCTGACTACAGCTACTTTGACACAAATCAGATACAATATGTGTCATATTTTGGGTCGTATGAATCAGAAATGAAAATATCCGATTCTATGTGTTTCCTTATTCACTAAAACCCATCACATCCGTGCCACAAAAGGAGGAAAACATCAGAACTGGGGCACGCTGAGCTGCAGCGTGAACACAGCCTTTGAGGTATTCTCATTAGAGACACGAGCAAAGTTTGGAACTCGGAGTTCCTGTCTTCATTACGACTCTGGTCGCTCGGCTTTATAGTGGCCACCTGCAGCGCCGGAGCCATGTGGCGATAAGACACTGGAGGAGACGAGAGCTGAAGATTAGAGATTCGGGTTAAGAAAAGGTGAAAGCAGACGGGTTCAAGAGGAGAGACTTTAGGATCAATTCTTGGTACAGCATCCCAATTTGGAATCTTTTAATATCCTCTCCTTTCTGCTTCTCTCTGAGACTGTCAACAAGATTCACTCACTTCCCAGTGGGTAATCTTGATATCTGGCAAGTTCACGCCGCTCTTACGCGACACCGTGTAATTAATCTAACTTGTTTTTATAACTCGCAATTCATTTTACAACATCAGGGACATGTAAAAATAATTGAAATGTAACCTCATAATCACTTAGTGTAACTAACTCCGAGGCTTATATTCTGTTTCACAGTGACATAAATCTCCCTCTGTTTTTTTCCTCTGCTTGCTCTTAAATGAAAGCTTGTGTAGGCAGATCAAGGGCTATTTTAGTGGAGATGATTCACTCATCTGTAGTGAGAAAGGAGAGGGAGAGGGTGAATCTGGAAGGCGGAGTGACCCCCTCTTCCCTCCTCTCGCATCTTGAGAAGTCCCTCCTTTCAGGATACTGGTGGGGACTCTACCTACAAAAGCGCATCCAAGCCTTTGTACTCGGGAGTTGCTCGTGCACACGTGACGCACATGTGCAAACAGGAGCCCACAGTTACATTGTGAACTCTTGAACTCGCGGTGGAGAGAGCCGAGAGAGTCGGAGGCGTAATCTCTGGGATATCTCTGGGCTCCATTACATTTAACGGAGAGTAGATTGGAACGTAGCACACGTACTTAACTCCGGAGCTACAAAAGAACACGGGGTGGACTGCTAATGAGAAGCTGAGCACTTTTTTTTTTTTTTTTTTGCAACATAATGCTTTGTTTTTCATAATTTAATTTTGCAAGAAGAATATGGGTTTGCATCAGACGGCAGGCAGCTTTTGAGATTCTTGAATTCTGTTTAAAAATGTAGTTTGGTCCTTGGTGCTTTGCTAACTCGGCTCTGTTCATACTTACTTTTATCACGTAGTCTCCTCTCGTTCATTTAAACGGAGAAAATATGTGAAAGGTCTCTTATTGTAGTATGACACAATTCAACATCCTCCGAATAGATAAACCGGAATCGACGCCACAGTTTGGACAAAGACCTTAACATTGGAGGAGAATTCAGTGCAGCGATGATGTATTAATAGAACACCTTGGATTAGTCCAAGGACTCTGAAACTAAAGAGGCTTTTAAATACCTCCTGAATATCAACCAGAGCTTTCCTGGATTTATTACTGACGTATCATTTTTTCAAGTCCACTCTCTTTCTCTCACCTTTTTTTAAATAAATGTAATTAATTCTACATAATACTTGAGAGGTCATCATAGAATAAAGAACATTCTAAAGTGTTACACCCAATTAGCAAATTAAAAAAAGAAGGAAAAAAAGCACAGTTTTTCACTCAGCACGTCGCCTGGACATTTAAAAATTTCGAATAACTCAACAAATATGGAGATAAAACTTTGGTGGTGGTTAGCATCGTTGCCTCACAGCAAGAAGGTCACCGGTTCGTGTCCCAGTGAGGACACCTGGGATCTTTCTGTGTGGAGTTTGCATGTTCTCCCCGTGCAGCGTAGGTTCTCTCCGGGTTCTCCGGCTTCCTCCCACAGTCCAAGAACATCCATCCATCCATCCATCCATCCATCCATTATCTATACACCGCTTAATCCTCACTAGGGTCGCGGGGGGGCTGGAGCCTATCCCAGCTGACTCAGGGTGAAGGCAGGAGACACCCTGGACAGGTCACCAGTCTATCACAGGGCTACACTTAGAGACAGACAACCAAGCACACTCACATTCACACCTACAGACAATTTAGAATCACCAATTAACCTCAACATGTTTTTGGATTGTGTGGGAGGAAGCCGGAGAACCCGGAGAGAACCCACGCTGAGAACATGCAAACTCCACGCAGAAAGATCCCGAGTGTCCTCACCGGGACGCGAACTGGCAACCTTCTTGCTGCGAGGCAACAGTGCTACCAACTGCGCCACACTGCAGCCCGTCCAAAAACATGTTGAGGTTAATTGGTGATTCTAAATTGTCGTAGGTGTGAATGTGAGTGTGCTTGGTTGTCTGTCTCTAAGTGTAGCCCTGTGATAGACTGGTGACCTGTCCAGGGTGTCCCCTGCCTTCGCCCTAAGTCAGCTGGGATAGACTCCAGCCCCCGACAACCCTAGTGAGGATTAAGTGGTGTATAGGTAATGGATGGATGGATGGGTTTAAATTAGTGCTTTTTTAAGGACAATCATCTTTTTTGTGGCATTTTAATGCCTTTGTTTGACAATAACTGTGGAGAGAAATAGTAAATACGGGAGATAGAGAGCAGTAGATTTGCTGTTCAGGACATTTACACCCATGTGGTGTTCACCCTCACTACTCCGCGACTGGGTCGCCCCTAACATTTGTGTTTTTATGAACCAAATTCAAAAGTTTCCTTTCAGAAAACTTCCAAAGAAAACTAATATAAAATAGCAGACCCATAAAATAATGGTCTGAACTTGGAGTCCCTTCAGGATTTGCAAGAGGCCGAGGTGACATCTTTAAATCGACTGTTGTTGTTGGACCGCTGTTCAAAAGCCAAGAATTGAATGTACAATAATACACATAGATATCCCACCAGAACAAGAAAGTCTTCTTGTGATAACATCACACATTTCATGTGGTAATTTGAAAGTTATGATGTGAAAGTCATCACTGACTGAGGAATTAATAAAGAATGAATTGGTAAATTGAAGAATCAGCCTGATTTCCACAGTATGATGAAGCTTCACTTCATGGTTGGGCAGAGACTTGATGAGATTCTGCTGCTTTTCAGCACCGTGTGTTGTAATATATTATTATAGGTACAGGTGCAGCTCAACAAAATTACAGTAGGCCTTCATGATCAAAATTCAAACAAAAAAAAGATTATGCAATGAATATAAAATATATGAAAGTTTGTCCTTTTTGATTTTTAATTCCAAAAATCTTTTCCAGATGTTGTACACCTGTACGCAAAAACAAAGATGGATTTTTAAAACGCATCGGAGCTGTACAGAACAAAGAATGACCTTTTGGAAAAAACCTGATCAGCTGGAAGGACCAGAAAGAATAAATTATGATTATCCACAGTGCTCAAAAACAGCAGAATATCACTCGTCTCAACCCAAGCATGAAGTAGAAATAAAAAATAAAGAAACTCTGTAAATGAAGTGTCTCCTTAAAATATTTGTTGTTTGTATGTTGCAATAACATGAACATATCTTGTTGTAATGTGAAAAATATCTTGTAATATCAATACATTTTCCACAATAAAACATGAAATGGATCAATTTTTCTTCTTCTGGTGTGGCATCTGTCTATCTAACATAGAAAAGCAGCCATTTTTTTCATTTACAGCGCTGGAAACAACAACTTTAAGATCAGTAGTTTAGCAACCAATCTATTTAAAGCTTCCGCACACAAAATGTATTCAGTGTAAACTTCTTTTCTTTTTTTTCTTTCTGACAACTTCAAAAACACAACACTGCTTGACCTTGCGATCACAAATGCGGCATTTATGCTGGTTTCCCTCTGCATTTCGACTGTGCTAATCAAACAGCGTGCATTACAGCTCCGAGATGTGAAAACTATAAATGTTCAGTATCGCTAAACTCCACTGAACACAGACGGAAGCCTCATAATTCCACGCTGCGCTTGACAACTCTGACATTCGTATTTATGGCGGAGTGTTGATGAGTTCCCACCTCTTTGTCAAAGCCCGCTCGGCTGTTGTCATCATGAAGCCTATTATTGATTCCACTGACACCCACACAATGTGACAAGTGAGTGGTCTTTAACTAAATTGCGCCGCTGACAAATAGCCGACAGTCCATCCTATTGTTGCGTTAAGCTTACAGTTTTACATCTGGCAGAAGAGGGAGGCAGGCGTTCAATTAGCACTTCAAGTGGCCACAATGAAACACAAGCACTTTCTTGGCAGTGTGTGCAGAGTTATGCTGGAGAGAGAGTGAGAGAGGGGAAAAAAAAAACATTGCTGTGCATCCAGACTCTGGCTTAAGGGCTTTATTGATGAAAAAAAAAAACTGCGTGTGTGCAACTATATCTTATATGCAGCTATTTCGCCCCGTCAGTGCAGCAGTTACCATAGAGATGGGAGCTCGGTTAACCAGCTCCTGCCATTGCTTAGCGACTGTTTTGCCTCCGCTCAACTGGCAACTGGTTTGGTTTAATGCCTTAACCTTCACCTGCAGCACACCGTCACCGGAACTCGCAGATGAGTCGCCAGGTGCAGGTGGGAAGACGCCAAGGGGTGGCGGCGAGGAGATCTAATCGACCGCGGCGTGGAGGAAAGTATCGGGGGGTCTCCTGAGAGCTCCAGAGGCAGCGTGCTGTGTCTTATTGAACCTGATCCCCTTATACTGGAGAACAAATTGAAAATCTGTTTCTCTCTCCAAAGCACTCACTCGAGTGGCACAATTAAAGGAGACAATTGCTGTTTGGCATTAAGTTCAAGGCCCGGCATTTTTATTTTTTTTTCCCTTTCCCCCCCTCTTCTTCCCCTTTTTCAACACAACTGCCTCTGGGCCATCCATTAAGGCAAAGTTCCCCCCTTTTTTTTTTCCGAGGCTGGAAGCCCTACATAGCCAGAGGTAATGACTTTCATTGAAATGTCTGATGTAGCAGCCATCACAGTTAAGCAGAGTGCGCGCGGAGAGGAGCGCGGCGCAGAATGCTTTTTACCTTTTAACGCTCATAACTCTCTCGCTGTCTCTCTTTCCGTTACGTACAGTCCCTCAGCTTCTCTGAACTAATCTCATTCCCCCTGAATTCATTGCAGCGCTGGTACTTGAGAGACTCATTACAGGGGAATCAAATTAAAACTTGCTCCTTGTCTCAGTTTGATGCATTTTCAAGTCAAGACTCATCCACCAGGCCCAATCAAAGGTTTTTTTTTTCTTTTTACTATTGCTGATGGGGCCCCGGAGTTAATGTTTTTGTCTGGCACAGGGGTTGCGTTTTCATTTGCTTTATGGCGGCCAGAATATATTACCCTTTCACTCATGTGCAGTTTGCATGCAGGCATGAGAAAGCACACTCACAAAGCACCCCGTGCCTTTTCGGCCTTCGTCTTAGCAATTCTCAAAGCGGTCACTTCTAGATTTACTTCATAATCCGGGTCAATATTTAGCAGGAGCAACACTGGTGGACGAAAAGCGAACTGGTAATGCATCAAAGGTAAAAAAAAACATTTAATTCTTCCACCCAGTTGTCACAATCTAGAGAGAAAATTACCATGAAAACCTTTAAAACCCCGGTCTGGCAGTATTTAAACTGTGTCTGATAAACCTTCAAACACAAAAAGAGGACTTGGGGCTATTGTCGCTGGGGAAAAAAAAAAAGAAGGTATATCTGTCTTCTTTATAATGGATTTCTCTGTGTGTGATTGAAGCCATCGCAACCCGATTCAGTGGGAGTGGCACAAAAATCTGATGATGTGCTGCTATGAAACTCCACTGTATGCCGCTCCAGAAATACACACATTAATCAAAGTAGTGTAAACCTCAGGACAAGAGATATATCACCACCAGTGAAGGTTTGACAACATATGCAGCTATTAACATGGCAGTGGCACGTGTGTTTGCAGCACATTTGGGCTTCACAAGTCACTACAGTATGTGTTTTTGTTTTTTTTCCCCCCTGTCTGTGTTTGGCTCATATCCAACAGAATAATAATGAGAGAAAAAAAAAACCACACACACACGCCAACCAAATGTACCCTGAAATACAAAGCACATCACCAGCAGCTGCTGCATTCACAGCGTTTAAGTGATCAAGGCCACATTTTCCCTTTAAAGCTAAACTGTGCAAGCTTTGCCTGTTGGAGGTTCTGAAACGCAGCCAGAGGGAACTGTTTGAAAATCCAAACTTCATTACCCAGAAGTCATGCATTGTGATGTCAGGAAAACAGCACTCAGCGTGAACATTTTTACAAAGCTGGCTTGTGATTACTCTTTTTTTTCCCTTTTTTACAAAGATGCAAATATGACAAGAAAAGGCAGCCCACCAAAGATCGGTGCTGCTGTTTAGGGGACGGTTTGCTGAATATTTTGCATACAATTTCTGACTGAGCTCCTCCGGTGGGTCGAGAAGATTCGCTAAAACTGACAGGATTTCGGAGTTGCAAACTATGGGCGGCTCGTTTCTGTTGCTGTGTCATTTTGACCGATAAAACCGGCGAAACATTTACATAAAAATGCTGCCACATGCCGGCTGTAAGATATGAAAAATAGCCCAGGTGTGTTCTGAGTGAAAAATAAACCTGTGTGCAGAGCAGCAGCGACACTGTTCAGGTTTGGGATTTGAATCCCGCCGAGGGAAGAAAGGATGTTTTCGCAGCAGTGCTTTAGAAATCACCTGCCAAACAGCAAACAATGTGGTATCACAGGTTATACAGTGGAAAATAAATTACATCTTATCTCATCTTACCTCCGTCTATATCCTCGCTGCCAAAGTGGTTCCTGTAGAAGAGCATGAGTTCGATCCTGTAGCACTTGTACAGCGTCACCAGGCAGATCAGCAGCATCAGGATCGCCCCCAAACCGCCGGCTAGCTCCACCGTGTACATCAGCTCGGCTAAAAGAACAGAGAGAGGCAGAGAAAGAGAGGCGTTTTAATGATTTGTTCAAGCAAAATTAGGAAAACATGCATTCTGGAGCAGCAGATAAAGCATGAAAAAGAGCATTAACGGGCTGTGATTTAAAAAAAAAATTCTGCTGTGATAGTCTGGACTCAGTAGAACAGTCCATCAGTCACATCCAAGAAGATTAAAAAAAAAAAAAAACCCACACAAGTGTCGATTTCCCTGTGATTTCCAGCCACTGTTGGACAACATGGGTGCTTCTCATTTGCTTTACTTGATGTGCCTCCACTCCTTTGGTGAATTGATTAGGTCTGCGATCAATTCCCTTATTTCTCCAGAAAGAGTCACCGCGGACGGACCTGTCTCCAGCCATCGATTATCCTTGTATACAGCAGAATGTCAGATTTTTGTTATTTGTGATCCCCTCCTGGCTTTTGTTCAGCCGAGCATATCGAATTTACTTTTAACATTTACTGGCAGTTTAGTCGGATAGAATGAAAGATGACCCTTTTTTTTTACTGTCACATTAATCATTATGTTTGTTTTTTATTATTATGCTGCAGACATCGGACGCCGTAATGCATTTATTCTCCGAAAACTCACATCGCAGTCGTTTCCTCCGTCTCATTCTCCCGGTTTTTATGTACCCGCACACGGGAGCAGGTTTGTATCCCACAGCAGAACGTCAATAAGTCATCAATCAAAAGGTTGTGCATGATGCAGCCATGATGGATAAGAAAAGCTGCACCATCTGTTGCTAAAAGGTTGCATGTTGTGAAATGACTCTGTCGTACCTCCACATTTGTTTGAAAAAGGCTTTTTATGCTTCTCCTGTGGCTGTGTTCATTCAGTCTGTGTCAGTTTTTCTTGCTTTCCCCCTCCATCTTTTCACGTTGCTCATTGTGGCTGGATTGGCTCCAGATGACACATAACTCAAACCGGAATGAAAGTACGACCGCTTCTATACCTGTCATTTAATGCCTCCTGGCGTGACTGGATAATGAAAAATTCACATTGAGGCAACCGGCGCGACAATAGCATGTGACAGATCAGACCGCCACGCTTATGAAGATCGGTTGCGTGAGTGTGTGTGTGTGTGTGTGTGTGTGTGTACAGCTGTGGAGACGTAAAGCTCCCGGGCTGTTAGCTGAACTGCCTGCTCGTCGACAGATCGAAGCGGCCCACTCTTCCCGCCATCCGTCATCGCTGTAGCCTGACGTGAACTCATGAGAACATGAAAAGGATCAGCGGGAGCTAAATACCAGGGACTGCTGCATTCCGCCGCTGATGGCTCGGTTTTACATCAGATTAGCCTAAATTGCGTGACTCATGCCGTTTTCAAAAAGGTTCATACGGGGGCAAGCTGATAGACGATTGGTTGGGGCGTATATGCTGTCAGATCGAAGTTCCTGGTTGAACCATTGCTACCTGTCAGTCACCTGCAGCTTTCAATATGTGATTCATTTAAACAGAGCACACTAGACATTCGCCCTATGCTGATATTGCTGTTTTTTTTTTTAAGTTACTTTTTTGGCCTTTATTTGATAGTGAAGTTGAGAGAGAGACAGGAAAGTGGGGAGAAGAATGAGGGATGGACCTGCGAAAAAGGGCCATGAGCAGGATTCGAACTCATGACCTCTGCATCAGGGACTGTAGCCCCTGTACATGGGACGCCAGCTCAACCAGGTGAGCTATAGCGGCTCCCCGATATTATCGTTTTAAGCCACAAACAAGCGATATGAGCCACAGGATTTCTGTTACATGTGCCACTGGGATCATCTACCACATGTGCACTCATTGGAGGTCATTAAGCACCACAGAAGACTTTGTTATGACTTTATTAGCGAAACACCTACAATAAACTCTTGCCAACATGGAACTGACCACCTTATCTGATTGCTACAGTATTAAAGTTTCAACTAATGATGCAACAAGATACTACGGCCTCATCCACACGTAGCAGGGTATCTCACAAAACGAAGATATTTTTCTACTATTTGGCCCGTCATCCACACAAAAACGCAGATTTATGGCATTAAAAACGATTCTTTCAAAAACCTCCGACCAAAGTGAAGATCTGCGAATCCTCCGTTTATGCGTCTGCATGTGGACGTCAATAACTGGGGTTTTAGGTTTTGAAACGTCACTGCCTGTGACAAAATATGTTCTTTACATCACATATGCGACCTGTGTTTACATTGGAAACAGCATGGACGCCCTCAAAACTGTGCTGGCGTTGTCTCTTGTCCAGGCCCAGATACCGCTCCACGTCCAAGAACACAGGTGAAGGACGGCGTTAAGGATGACTATTTTCCGCCACCTTGCCATTCCACGTCCGAAGCATGTTCTCAGTCCAAGACAGCGACGCTGGTTTTGGGTCAGATCGAGACGCACTGCCAGCTGGTGGGAGAACTTTGAGATGGAAATTGTGCTCCCGGAGGAATGACGTGACAATTTCCGTATGTCCCGGTCATTGCTCCTGTTGTTGGAGGAGCCTCACGTAGAATATGAATGTGCTTAAAAACGCACTTATGCGGTTAGGTGAGGATGAATTTTTTTCTAAAAACGAGGTGGTGTGTGCGTAAGTTTTTTTCTAGAAGGAAGGGGGAGGATATTTGATTTTACAAAAACCCTGCTACATGTGGACAAGGCCGACAGATAATCAACAATACTTGAAGTGTTTATCTTGGAAAAACTTTTCAGATGGGGACTCCGTATTGGCAGATATAAATACATCGGATCAAGAGCTAAGATCGGGACATGCCTAGTTTCAACCATTGGGCTCACTGACCTCATAAGTTGCCTTGAAACCAAAGTTGTTTGTCTCTCTTTCAAGGTTTTCTCCCCCTAATTCTGTGTATTTTGTTCCTTGCCATCCAGTCAGTTCAACCAATTAACAACATAAGTCATCTCAGGGAAACCCACATAGTAAGGTGAAGGCCGTACACTATTATATTATAGAAAGACACCAAAAATATTCAGGAGAGGCCAGAGTTATTCATTCAGTGGACTCAACTATTAGGCTCAATGATCTAGTAAGTTGCCTTGAAACCCGAGTCGTTTTCTTTGTCTTTTTACAATCTCGTCTCTTTCTCAAGGTTTTTTTCTCCTTTTTTACAGTGTTTTCTGTCGGATGTCACTCCATCTTTTCCCGCTCAACATTTCCCTCTGGCTACGCCTCACAAAATCTGGGTGGTCAGCCTTCATTGGCTGACTAATGGACAACAGTAAAAGCCTGGACTTACTGCAATGCTGCACACACACATAAACATGGATGGAGAGGACTCGCGCGCATCACCATCCATCACCGACGCACATTTAACCTCGTCGGAGTGTGCGATGCCCATCCCACTGCAGCGGCCATCAGGCTGACAGCTCCCATGATGAAGGATGATGTTCTAGAGAGCTAACGAGCATGGCCCGTGCCGCTTCATCACGCCTGTCCGGCGACGACCTTCAGCCAAACTCACGGACGGACGTTTGGGCACGTACACAAACAAAAGAGCAAACAAACTCAGGGCAGCATGACCACAGGTTTCCCCCATCGAGCATCTGACTTTCTCCTCTAGCTCTCCGTTTCTCTCCCCTCGGCCCTGGGAATCATCCCGAAATGGTTTATTTTTCTACGAGAGGTGCTGCCGTGAACAAGAACTGCGAAGAATCAAGCCCACTTCTTCCTTCGCTTCCTCTTCACTGTCCTCTCCACCTCCACTCTGCCCTCCCGCCTTAGTGCACACTGCTTCTCTGCTCTGATTTCTGGACAGTATATAAGCAGCCAGCTGCTTCTCGAGCAGCAGAGATTACAGTGGAGGAGGCCAATTCTTCCCAGCCTGGCATCCATATTGTTGCAGCGCTGCAGTGGGACAGATTAAGACAAATTAGCTCCTGACGACTAGAAGGCTGGATTTGATGGAGCCACACGGCATCAGGCGATTCATCACCTCGTTCTCTCTGTCTATTTCTGCATCTCTCTCTGTCTAGGGAGGGAGATGGAAAGAGAAAAGAAGAAAAGCCAGAGTGCTGGTTGAAGGGTAAAATGAAATTGGGAAACCTGAGCCTGCTGCTCCTCACTTTAACAAATTAGGAATCTACTTGCTTTGCAGTACAGCTAGTTATTTACTGTTGCTGCTGCAGTGCTGAAATTTCTGTAGGGTTTGTTGCTACGGAAGAAAAGTTGGTCAGGAGAACTTTCTGGGTTGAAGAAGTGGAAATAAGGACATGCTAAGATACATACGAGTGAAGACATATTCTGATTGATGCTGCGCGATTCGAAGTGTCTGCATGTGTGAGCGTGGGACAGAAAGAGAGGCAAGCGAGGGGAAAAGTAAAGAAGTGCTCAAACGGAGAAGACCAAATTCATTTTGAGTGTTGTGCGCTGTTTTTCGCAGCTTCAAGAGACAAGTGAGGAAAACTCTGATGCATTTTGAAAGCCAGTATAAACACTGACTGGTCTTGTGCTGCACCACACCACATATGCAGTAAGAAGAGGAAGAAAAAAAAAAAACTTTCCAGAAAACATGGGAACGAGTCGATTTCTTGTAGTGTCGCAATCCTGCGAGGACCAGGGCTAATCTTCTCCAGTTTATTCTGAGATTCGACTGTGCAGCATAAACCCCTTTAATATAGCAAATGGAGGGGAACTGGGCTGGCATCAAAGCTGGATCCAAAGCTGCGAGCTTAAAAGAGAGGAGAAATATCTTACTATGTAAATGTATTCAACACTGACAACTTTAAGGCTGCTGAGACCCCCCCAGCCTTGCTAGAAAAATAAAAAAAAATAAAAAAATCTCACTCACATAACCACACTGGAAAAAAAAAAAAGTGCATCTCTATTTAAAATCATCACGGAATCAACTTTCAAAGAGTCATCCGCAGCGAGGCGAAATCAGAGGGAGAAAAAGTTTGCTTGACTAAAAAGACAAGGGGGGGGAAGGGCAGAGACAACAGTAGCCACTGATGAAAGATGAGAAAATGTCTGAGTGAGAGTTCAGCGATCAAAGCGGGATTTGTGTGCGTGTGTTGGGGGAGGTCATTGCCAGACAGTCAAACAGCTTGTCTGGCATCATAACACCGAAGGCTGCCTCTCTCTGAAAGCTATTTTTCTTTCGCTGCAAAATAATGCTTCCTCCGGCATGCGGTGGATGAATAGGCTTTTTGCACTATCTACCATACTGTCCCATTTTTTTTTTCTTCTTCTTCCCCGAGGCAGGAAACAACTGGTCAATTCCCACATTCCCGCTAGTAGTTCTTCTTTTTGTACTCTGTAAACTGCTGCAGGAGATTCACTACATTGTCAGAGCGAAGGCCCGTGGTATTAAATGGTGTTTTTCACCTCCAGAGCTGTAACGTGGCATTATTAAACATCAAGGCTTTTCTATTCATCCTCCAGATGCACGGTGAAATACTGTGTATGCTTTTAACAGCTGATCTTTTGTCAATCCGTGTGCTCGTGCGCGTGCTCCGCTCACCTTTCTTGGTGAGCTGGATGTTGGCCTGTCGCCGCCCGTTGCCGTTTTCCACGTAGCAGGAGTAATTGCCCAGATCGCTCTCCTCCAGACAGTCGATGGTCAGAGAGATGGAGACCTCCTGCTCCCCCAGGTGCTCCCGGATTGTCCTGCAGGGGGCGGCAGAGAGAAATTAAATCATGGATATGCTGCAGGTGGTGAAGAAATGAAACCCTGGGGATGGCAACGGGGTTTGTAGGGATTAAAAGAGAGGATTGGAGCTTCGGTAAACATTGTAAAATGATTTAAATTACATGCAGTTAAATGCAGAGTTTGATTGATTCAGTTTTTTTTTTTTTTTTAAAGCTGCTTTATTCTATAAATGTAGATAAAATTAAAGACCACTCTATTTTTTTCTTAATGATATAAAAAAAAAATAATAATGTAAAAAGAATCTCAAGCAGTAAATAGAATAATAGCCTGGGTGTAGAGAGCCAGAACTTTAGTTTTGGTTCACATCAACCTTATTTTACTTATTGCTTCCGTCCTTAGTAAAAAAACGCTCCGACAAACCCTCGATTCTCTACCTGCCGAGCACCACATAGCAGATGAAGTCAGTGGCTATCCAATGAACTCAGTGAAGCATTTAGCTGCAGAACTTGGGACATGAAGGAAAGCGAATCTTTTCCCAAGTGGCCAAAAACCGACTCCAAAGCAGCGGCAATGTTGTTCTGTGTAGAAATGTAAATAGGCAACTGTTTTCAGCTTCAACTTCATAATATTCCAGTAGCTTGACTGAATATGTATTGCAAATATCTGCAATTAAAAGGAACTCCAAGTGTTTAAATGGAATATTTCAGATATAGCTGCAGATATCCAACATGTGAATTCTGGATACCTGAACATAAATTATGACTAGCTGTAATTCTAGTTTTAGGTTTCTATAGTTTAACTCTGATTAGTCATAATTCCAGTTCAAGATACTGTTGACTATTTTTTAGACAGATTAAATTGCACTTGAACTGTTTTTACATTGCAGATATCTGTGGTCAAATCAGAAGCTTAGGCAAATATGAGACGGAGGCGACTTGCTTTTCAGACATACTACAGCACTGCTACTGTATAACCGCACATGACAAGCTGTTTTATCGCCATGTCAGCGCAGCCCGAGGTTGAACTGGTAGTAAACTTCAACCACAAGGCTGTTGTTTCCCCACAAACTCCTCGCTGATAAGATCTCCCAATTTTATGGTGTGTTTTTTTTAAAACAATCTTAATCACCTCAGCAGACTTCCATATCCAGCACACAACAGTATCACCCCTACTTATTAGGAAAATGTCTGGTTCTGTCTGCTGATCTGATCGGCAACATCATTTTTTTTTTAGCTCAGGTTATAACCAAAACAACAAACTTAAAGAAACCAAACTGCTCGAGCCGAGTGACGTACAACATGTGCCGCCAATTACAAACACTCACTTGATCCTGAATTAATCTAAAAAATGTAATTACTGCAGCTTTAATTAATATGCCATGATTAAAAATGGAGAAAATCTGGGACTACGCTGAAAAGTAGCTGCTGAAAAGTAACAAAAGCATTACTCTAAACTTGACTTAGCTCCTAATTTGCCGGGGTAGTGATGAATATAAGTGTTTGCTTGAGTATAAAGTAGAACAGTGGAAATTGTCAGATTGTAATTTTCTTTCTGGCTTTCCTTACTATACCTGGAAAAGTGGCACAAGCAAGAATAATAGTGGGCTTCCTTCATTTGCTGTCATTCATTGTCTAAACAGATGGAAAAAGCGTCTTCCTGATGCGAGATCGTTGATATTGTGGACTTTTGAAGCAAATCTTTCCTGCCTGATTTGGACCCAGACAACTCGGACGTTACAGGACTTTTGAGGTGTTGATGATTCGCTGTTTAAGTCAAAGACGACGTTTCAACACGAAGCGTCTGACGTCGGACGGCGTCTTTCAGTTAATCAGAGGCTGACTGATGCGGCTGCTCTACAAGTTTTTGGGCTTTTGGTCAGTTAAACCGACCTGTTTGGTAAAATCTAAAGAACAGCATGACTTCAAACATTTTTTCAAAAATCGGGAGCTGACATGCTAATTGTGAGGTGTACATCAAAGCTGCTCCTGACACTTTTCATTTAGGAAGGTTGATTGATGACAAAAACAGACTTGAAACATCAGAGCTGGAGTTGAGGTTTTAATTTGTAGCACTGGCGTTTGCAAGTGTGCTCCGTGCCTACAGGTTCCAATTAACAATGCCAGATGTTCAGAGTTTTTGTACAAACAAAAACTAAGCTCAAAAAGTCAAGTAGAGAATATTGTCTCCTTAATAAAATATGGATTTGTCTGACACACACATTCAAAAGAAAAAAGTTTGCCCGAAGGAAATTTGAGTCGTGTCTACAGTTTGCAATCCATAAATCCTGACCTTGGAATTACAAGCTTCCATCCGGGCGGAGTGCAACTCTGAGACAGTGTCAGAGATAAGATATGCACTTTATAACTGCTGTGCATCATTCCCAAGCCATAAATATGCAGATACCTACCCCAGACAGAGCCTTAGTTTAATCCCAAGCTCTATAATTTGCTGACATTCGTAGCAGCTTTGACTCTCCAGAGGTAACCCTTTAGTGCATCAATAAAACAAAAGTACATAAAGGTAGGAGCTAACTGTCCGTGACTGACAAGGAGCCAACATCACATGAGTCATGACACATTTCCCTCCGCGAAAAATACTGCTCCGTCGACTCGCTGAGGCTCTTGATGTTGATTGGTTGTGACACGTTGGTATGGGGATAATAGTGTGACTGTCACGATGCACTACGGCGCCGACCTATCACACAACATTTCGCCAGGAGGGGTTGGTGAGAGGGGGGGAAAAAAAAAAGCTCTTGATGTGTTTGTTGCGAAGAGTTCAGCCATTTTCAGTCACGTGCGAGGAGTCGAGGCCACGACTTTGACGATTCGAGAGTGCTCTGGAAGAACGCTGGGATGCTCGGATGTTCGGTTTCTTTTTTACTTGGCAGGACAGTGTGTTCGTTAGCAGAAAAAAAAAAAACTCTGGGTAATACCAACTTTCTCTTCATTATCAGTGTCATTAAAATGAGGGAAAAGAACAGTGTCATGCCGTAGTTAACTGGCTTCAATGAGCAGCCTCAAAATGTCAAGGTATACCTTTCCAACAAACTAAGCACATTTCAACTAAGCTCGTCTGTATGAGAGCCTGGCTGCTATTTAATAAGCTGTGGTTAGAGCTAAATCCTTTTACAGCTTTTGTCAGTCTACAGGTAGGCTTTTTTTTCCCTTAAAGAACTTTTTGAAACATATACTTGATTCAGCTGATCTGATACTGTCAGACAATTTGTTTCAGTCCTAGAGTGAAAGTAAAAAAACTAAGCTTTAGAAAGCAAGTCTGCGCGAGTCTATTAATGCGTTGATTGAAGCTGAGGTGCTGATAAAAAAAACAACTCTCAAGCTTGCTGTCAGCCTTTGACAACGGCACGACGCAAGAGTAACAAGACTTAAGAGTCTACAGCTACGATTTCAGCTCTTGGAGTTGGTGCTGACCTAAATGCGTACCAACATGCTTGCGGTTGCAGCGTCGACATGCATCCTGGAGCACTGGTGGTACTAAAGGAAAGGTCAGGGGGTCAAAGCTGTTCGGTCATCTTGGACCCATAAATGTCTGCAACAAAATTCCAAGCAATCAATTTAAGTTTTCGTGGGATATTTTTTACAAGATTTCACAAGATAAACCTGCTGGTGACCAACATTTACTACCAATACACCCACCAATAGCATGGCAACAAAAAAGATATCTCCCATTGCTTTTATAGACCATCCCCTTCTTAGAAATCTAGTCTTACCAATGAGGCCACATCTAGGGCTGACAAATGTTGCAGTTCCTGGAACTGCCACAAGTGAGTCTTAGACCTCCACGTTAAAATGTCAATGTTTACAGCCAAATAAACATGTTTACAGCCTGGCACAAAATACAGTTTTGGTCTCTAGCAAGGGTTTAGAGGATCATGAACGTCAGTAGAACATACTGTCAGAGAACCACAATTGTCTGCACAAAAGTTTAGTCCATCAGAAGCATCAACGTTAAGGGCTGAAAAATAAAACCAATGCAAAGTGTCAAAACTTGTAGTTCCTCGAATGACCACTTGGGGCCAACTGCTAATGTTCGGCAATCCCCATAGTCTTCCATGTTAAAATGTCCAACTTTACAGCAGAAATAAACAAAAAATACTCTTTGCAGTTGCTTTTCCCATTCATGACAACTGTATAGTGGTTCATTTTTACATATCTCACATACTTAAATTGTCTCAGGTCTTTAAGTCCCGCTTAATTAAGGATGTGACGGACATGTGGGTGCTTCAATTGGACAGCTGCCCTCATATTCCACCTCATAGCTCACTGTTGGATTAGCTGGAGGTTAGAAAGAGTCAGGCACTGCCAAAATAGCAACAGCCAGAGTCATGACACTCAGCTTCAAAATCGCTCGTCAGAGGGTTCAACCATCTCTACATTCAGTCTGTGGTGTTGTCTCATAGAAAAGCATTGAACTATTTACAGGGTTATAGACTAAATGTAGTTTAAAAAAATGGCTTCACTTCTTCAAAAATGATCAAGGTGGAAATATCCTTTTTACACAATGAGCTATTTCTTGCTTTTAAAAAGAACGCTGCCTTTTCGACTTCACTGTCCATTGACAGTCTGCATACCACCATAATTAGCTGATGCTCGAGTACAAAACAAACTTGCACGCGGCAAAATAAAGACCAAGACCTACTTTAAAAAAAAAAACCCGGTAAAGCCATTTGCAACAAACTCCTGAGAAGAGAGGAGAACAGCAGGAAAACAATGATGGTTAAAAGAGCAGCATTTCTCCTGCTGCGCACAAACAGGGATGATGTACGAGCAGATAATGTTTTTAAGGTTACAAAAATTATAGCTATTTCAGGCCCCTGTTTAATGATGCATGGGGCTAATAGTGCGAAAAAGGTGCGAGCGCCACTTGGGCATTCATCTGCCGCCCGCTGCAGGGCATTTGAATATGAAAACTCATCTAATTCTTGTTGATCAATGAACGGACTAAACAAAGCAGATTGTGAAGTGCTGCGGGGATAAAGACAAACTACAATACAACCACC